TGCTTCTGTCTGTCGGGGACTGTGCTCATTAATAATTGGCTTAGTTAATGGAAAAATAGGTTTGGGGGCCAGAGACTCAGCTCAGTGGTTCCACCGCCTGCCTCACAAATGCAAGGTCCTGAGTTTGATCCCTGGGGGAGAGAGAGAGAGCAAAAAACTGAAAAGCTAGCTAGGAAATCTAGCTTGAAGTCTGGCTGGATCCAGGTGCTCAAAAGATGATCAGGAATCTGTCTCTTTCATCGTTAGCTTTACAATCTCGGGAAGACACTCACTCACATCACCTACAGCCAGGTGTCCACCAGCATCCCTAACACCCTCTACTCTTGGCAGCTCTGGAGAAAGAGCAAGTGTCTTCATTGACTTGGCTTGTGTCATGTGACTATCCATGAACCAATCACCGAGGCCAGAGGCATGGGGCTCTGATTGGCCAAGACTGGGTCACACCTTCCCCTGGGGTGGAGGGAATCAGTTTAACCACAGTTACTGAGACTGCGGATGGTGGGGAGGAAGGATGTTCCTCGTAGAAATTTAGGAGATGGGGAAATGGGTGTAATGTAAGGAGAGAAAAGTCCTTGGGAATAAGAGCCATTCCTATGCCCAACTGAACTTCCTTCCAGGGTTAGGATGGGGCCTCGGGGATAGAAGTGGAAATAATGGATAAGCCCACGTCCGCATTGGAGAAGTCCCCGGCAGCTCACCGGAAGCAGAGTGGCTGGTTCTCCACCCAGACCTGGGGCTGGGAAGGTGGCACCTCCCACCTGCCGGGGACCTTTCCGTACACCTGACCAGGGAAGTGGCTGGACTGAGGGAAAGAATACCGTTTGCAGAAATCCAGGGATTTTTCTTAACAGAGTCTGTTTCTTACTGAATGGACTGACCAAGAAGCAAATGAGAACTAGAAAGGAAAAAAATCCTTCAGCTAGAAGATTTACAAAGGCAGGGAGGTAAAACGGACCAGGTGTAGTGAGAGGTCCTTTTCCCCACCGCCAGAGTCCAGGTTGATGGTTTTTCAGGAGCAGCTCAGAGAGACCCACCTCATTAAGCTCTAGAACTTTACAAGAATATATAACTCAGCACTTGTGGGTTAAGCAGTATTTCTCACAGTGAAAATGCTGACCACAATTTGTCTTTTGGGGGCGAGAATTAGAATTATTACCCCGTTATGGAGACGCCCTGGGAGCAGTCGGGTGAGGAAAGCTGCTCTCTGCCACGGCGAACAGCGCCCTCTGCTGGCTGCCTTTACCGTCTGCCCTGTGCGGGGCCGAGGTGTGGGCTTCCTCCCTCCGGGTCCCTTCAGTACAGTTGTAAGAGCAGCACAGAGGGAGTCGGAGGAAACGGGGTGCAAGTGGGACCAAAGGGCCCCGACGAGGCAGCCACGTCCCTAGCTGTGTATGGATTTTGTACTGTTTCAACTCTGGCACCTCCTTTTTTTTTGTACAACACTTTTTAAATTTTGGTATGATAGTGGATTTACAGAAAAGCTTGTAACGATAGCACAGAGTTCTGTAGACTCCCCCTTGGCCGCTCCCCGCAAGTTTACATCTGCGGGACCACAGTGCAGTTACACACACACACACACACACACACACACACACACACACACATGAAATAAACCCTGGCGACCGCTGCAGGGTGTGTATGCCCACTCGGCCACCTCGTCCGCTTGTCCCCTGGCGGGGAGACGGCTTCCTGAAGAGCTCTGGCCCGGGTCCTGGAGAAGCCCCCGACCTGGATCTGGCTGGTGTTTCTCCCGGGTCCGACTGGGCGTGACCGGCTGAAGCTCCCTTACTGTCCCTTCACAGGGTAGGTGGCGCTGAGAGTCCGCACAACTGCCCGGGAAATGTTCACTTCGTTACTAGGGCAGGGTGCTGTTTGCTGAGGTTCTCCACCCTAAAATCACTATTTTCTCCTTTCCTGACTTACTTTTTAGAAGCAGCCTGTGGGGGTGGGGGTGGGGGTGCCACTTCCTGAAGGCCCAACCCCAGAGATGTTCGGTTCTTCTGTAAGGAGGATCGTGCCCCTCCCCAGAACCCACGTACTCCAGCGTGGATTTGTGTCAGCACGGATTCACACGCATGTTTGACACTGTGGGCTCTGATCCGCCTCTTTGCCATTTATTGTGTTGGTCAGGGAGTCCCAGCCCTGCCTGCAGTGTGCTGCTGGACTACTTTTGTGTCCCCTTCGATAACGCCTCCCCCACTGTGTATTCTGGCTGTGTTCTGTAGCACTTCCTCCCTTCTTTGCTCTCTCAAGCTGCCCCGGACTCATGGGGGATTCTCCGTGCCCCAGCCCGAGTCAGCTGAAGCCTTTTCACTTCCTCTGTTTGCCCGTCTTCTTCAGGCTGGTTCTGCCGGTGAGCATCTGCAGTGTGTGCCCGGCATGGTACTGGGCTCTGGGCCCTCAGAAAAAGTAAAGCAGGCATGGATAAAGTTTACTGACATAAAGCGTGGGTGACGCACCCTCCACAGCCGACAAAATGCACCCTGTCCTCTCCGCAAGTCCCGGAGAGCCTGTGACCCTCACTGATTGATTGCTTCGCCGGTTTTCACTGAACACTTGTATCCCGCAAGCAGGAGGCTCACAGCGGCAACCGACAAATGTGTGAACGTCCAACCTGAGCATCGCTGGGTATTTCTGCTTAGCTTCGTGAGTGAGGCAGAAGCAAGAGAAGAAAGGCATGTGAGGCCTCACATATCCACCGATGACCTGAGGACCTGAGAGACTTCTCTGCGGGAGGAGTCCCCTCTGCTGTGATGTGACGGGCAGGCCCAGTCCTCCATGCGGGTCACTGATATCTTCCCAGCCAGCTTCCTGAGTGTAGGCGGCCGACGAAACAAAAAGTCAAGCCCTGACTTCCAAGGTGCAAATGCTCCCACTGTGGCCAATTTCCAGCTGTAAAAGCAGCAGCCGGAGAGCTGAAGATCGCAGCAGCGCAGCAGCAGCACTGCCGACGCACAGACAGCTCGAACAAACTCGAGGGGACCGGGGACAAAGCCCAGCAAAGTCATTAATTAGGAAGGGGTGCGTTGTAGGTGTTTGTTCTCATCGTTTCTGACAGACTTGGCCGTGAGTGAACATAACTGAGCATGGATTACGGCTGTGTTCATCAGTCAGCTCACAAAATTCTGAACTCTGAATAAGAAGTTGCCTCTCAGGATCTTGCGGTACAGCTGGCCCCAGCCCTCCTCAGGGCGAGCAGTGATGAGGCCACAGTCCCAGCAGATGGAGGCAGAGGCCCTGAGCTGCTTCCAGGCAGCACATGGGCAGCGTGAGGAGCACTGCATGGGGAGCTGTTGGCGCTCCTAGAAAACTCTTTTCGTGAGCCGCCCAGGCGACATGGTGTGCTTTTCACACCACGGACTTCCTGTTTTCAATTTTTTGGGGGGAAGTTTGGTTATTTGAGACAGGGTCCTTTTATGTAGTCAAGACTGACCTGGAGCTCACTATGTAGCCCAGGCTGGTCTCAAACTCACAGCGATCCTCCTGCCTCAGCCTCCGGAGTGCTGGGATGACAGGCGTGTGCCACCATGCCCGGGTGTTTTCAATTTTTCACCAGGGAAGATCTCCTTTTCTTCATTAAGCAATCAGCTGAGATCCTTTTGCAAGCATGGCAAACCGGTGTAAATAAACCAAATGTTCCAGGCGCACAGGTTCCCGAGTCAGTGCTGCTGCGCCCCAGCTGCCCTGGGGGCGTCCCCCGACCAGGCACTGTATTTCAGTACAGCAACCTGCGCAGCGGGGGTACAGACGCCTCCCGGCTTCAGGACCATGCAGGCTCAGGATAACCAGACAGGAACACACGGCTAAGGGCCCAGCACGGCCCCGCCCCACCGGCAGGCGCCTCCTCTACGCGGTGATTCGCAGCTGTAGCAGCGATGTTGGACAGGGCGCTGGGCGAAGGCAGGTTCCCTCCCGATTCCTGCAGAAGGCCTGGGCCCCGAGTGCACATTGCCTTGGTCCACGAGGGCAACCCTCGCTCCCTGCGCCCTCCCTTTCAGGGCTATGAAGGAGTCGGAAATCTGGCAGAAGTGGATCGTGATTTCTTGAGTGGATCGTTGTCTGGTGTTTGTTGAAACCGACAGAAATTCAGCAGTGAGCGTGGTCTAGGAGTCTCCCGTGCGGAAGAACTCGGGACTGGTACTTGCGTCCTGCGTCAAAAACGAAACAAAGATGGCGGGGCAAAGGAGAGACAGGGCGTGGCGTGTACTTTTGAACTCAAATTCCTCACACCAGACTTGGGGGTGAGTGGCCCTGACGTGACCAGACTCTGCACCTCCTAACGCGAGCACGGCCAGAGCCCACCTGTCAAGCGGTGCCTTTTCTCCTTGTGTTTTTCTACCTGCCGATCCCCTGGTCCTGAGCAGCAGTGATTTCTGAGAATACTTGGACCATCCGTATGATAGATCAGAGCTACCGAGGAGAAAAACTTCAACTTTCACCGTACAACTAAAGCCACCCTAAATCACCAGCATTGGTGGAGACCAACAGGGTAGACTGAGGCACGAACGAGCCCACCAGAGCTGGCAAAAATGAAGCAACAAGCAAGGTTTTGTTTCCAGCCTGGGTGCAGGCAACCCAAGGGCGACAAGACCGTTGGCCTGAGGGCTTGGGCGAGGACAGATCTTATAGGGGAGTTTGAATGGGGAACGGGGCACTGTGGAGAGGAGTGGAAAATGTTTGTTCTGGGATGGAGGAAGTCTGGGGGTCCCCGGGGGTATCTGGCCCTGCAGGGTCAGGCTGCTTATCTCAGACCAGGGCCTTGGCTCCCTGTTATCTTTTGTGCCTTGAAGGATGTGTAACGGAGTTGCCTGGGAAGTTTTTTCTCTTGTGCCTGGATTAGGGGTCTGACAGAAACCTCTTTTTTTTGTTTGGTTTCGTTTTTTGAGACAGGGTGTCACTATGTAGTTGAGACTGACCTGGAACTCACTGTGTAGCTCAGGCTGGTATCGAACTCACAGAGATCCTCCTGCCTCAGCCTCCCGAGTGCTGGGATTACAGGCGTGCACCACCATGCCCGGCAGAAACCTTTATTTTTGAACCCAAATATCCAACTGCATTCTTCTCTGCCTTTATACACTGTACCCACCCTTGACATCCCACCACTGAGCGTTGTGTGCTGTACTCAAGACCAGCTCCTGCCAGCCTCGCAATGTCAGACCCAGCCAGGGCTCACACCAGTTTCTCTGGGAAGACACCTCTCTTCCCAGGAGTCAAGGGCAGCATGAACTCAAGCGTTCGTCCACAGATGAATGGATAGACGGAACACGGTCTCGTCACAACATGGGATAGTGTTCAGCCCCGCCACGTTGTGCTGGCGTGAACCACCCTCGGTACATGCGTGACCGTGCCATGAGGCAGCTTGTACCACCTGCTGGGACTGACTCACACCCTCCGATGAGACCGTCGTGCACCGATCCCCAGTGGTTCAGAGCCACCCGGAAGCCACACATGTGAATGAAGGCCCCCTTGTGAAATGTTACCAAAATAAAACAAGGAGAGGGATTTGCACACGTGCTCCGTCACGGATGCCCCTGGAGAATATCCACGTCAAGAGAAATGAGCCCGAGACCGGTGCGGTCTTATTCTCCTAACGTGAGCTACCAGGAGAAGTCAGATTCACAGACCGAGAACAAAGGCGGTTCCCAGCCCAAGGAGGCTCTGGCCCATTCCCCTTGCTCCCCTCCCCAGGGGACTGGGACAGCTCGCCTTGGTGGCGGCCCCGCGTGTTTAGTGGCCACCTCCTCCAGACTGGTCCTGCAGGCGCGGTGCAGCTCAGCGGTCGGCCGCGGTGCCTCGCCCACGCCCTCCGCTGCAGACGCGGAAGCAGCAGAGGAACCCGCTAACCCGGCTCAGGCCCGGTGGGAGAGGGACCAGGGCCCGAAGAGTAAGGTCTCCGCCCGGCCATTTTGTCTTGAAGATGCAGCCACTGTCCGTCAAATGGCTCGCGCTGTCCCTCCGCCTCACTGAGTCCGCACCGTGACAGCTGCCATTGTCTTGAGGCCCCACCCCCTCTTGAACCAATCACAGATCTGCACTTGGACTAAGCGGTGGGTCCAAATTTGAACCAATCACAGGCCTACACTGGACCAATCACAGGTCTGAAACTGCTATATAAGCAGCACTCCGGCCCGCAGTTTGGGTTCCTGTAGGAGGACTCTGGTGTGCTGGCCGCCTCCACCTGTCCTCACCACCTCCAAAACACATGCCTCCCACGCAACATCCCAGCACAGGAGTGGATCTCTCCACCACCACCGATCCAGAATCGTCGAGGTTTGTGTTTTGAAGGCTGCGGTAGAGCACATTTGAATTCACCCTGAAGTATCTATCGAATCGGGACAGCTCACAGGAGAGACTGAGGTGAGCCACCTCCGGAGGGCCCAGGGACAGGACGGGTGGGGAAGGCCGCGCGGCCAGGAACCGGACGCCTGAGGGCAGAGAGGCCCGCTGTCGATGCAGGGAGAAATTCGAAACTGCACAGGGTGACGGTGTGCTGAACGCTGCCGGATCCCACTCATGAAACAGCCTTAAAGTGGCCACTGTCGTGGATGCGAGGCTGGAGCCCCTGAGTGATTGGGACTCAGAGCCTGAGGTCCCCATCTCGAGCCTTCAGGGGACCTGCTTCGGCCTTGGGCCGAGCTCCTGGTGAGCAGGGTGCCTTTCTCAGCTGGGGGTTAGGACTGCACTCTGCCTGCACTCTGGTCTTGGGAGCGTCTGGTGGGCCGTCGTGTGACTCTCGAGTCTACAGAAGGGAATGGGGAGCCCCGTGTGGATGGCAAACCTCTGAGCAAATGAGGAAGGAGAGGAGGTGGAGGAGGAGGAGAGAGGCAGACACCGAGAGATCAAGAGGAAGAGAGAGACGGAGAGAGGAGAGGCCTTCCCTGGACCCCCTGTCACCTGCACCCCTACCTGAGCCGGGTGGACCCCTCACCTCCCAGCCTCAGTGACACAGGAGGGACTCGAATGAGCCCCAGGAGGTGAGCAGCAGCATCCGTGTTCACTTAGGCAGAAGGCACGAGGGAGACACCTCGCGAGACCCTGAGGTGCAGACCAAGCCAGGTGTACGCACCGCTGGCACTTGCCTGTGCTGTGGACGGCTCCCGTACGCGCACGGTCTCCCCGAGGTCGCGCGAGTAAAAGTCCCCTCCCTCGACAGGCGCTGAGGCAGCACCTGCAGGACCAGGTGTGCCGGTAATGGTGCGGATGAAGCCTGATGAGATGGTCAGAGCCCCTGCAGCCGCAGGGCTCTCAGTTTGGGGGACGGAGGAGGAAAGAGAACAGGCTGTGGGTCTCAGAGCTGGGTGTGAGCCTCACAGACCTGTCCCTTGCTGTCAGCCCCTATTGAGGACTACGTTGTATGTGCCAGCTGCCCGTCCTGGATGCTGGGAGGGGAGCCCCCGGCCCTGAGAGGAGAAACCTCCCTGACCCCTGTCTGCCTCTGCAGGTCTCGTGCCCGTGGGTGAGGGGCCCAGCACCTTGGCCAAGGCCACAGCCCTCTCAGGCCGCCCAGGAACCGAACAAGTCATCGTCGCCTGCGCATTTCCCCTTCCACCAGGGCGTCCGGCCGGTGCCCATGCAGCGGAGCTGGTCCCAGGGCTTCCCCGGGCCCATGGTGGTCCCGCCTGCCTCCCTTCAGCGGCCCGTGAGCGCCAGGGGGAAGATGTTCTCCTTCGTCGTGGACCACAGGTCCCCCATCCTCAAGCAAGGTGTGTACCTGGCTTCCCGTGGGGACGTCCAGGGTGGGTTTCGAGCCATGAGGGCGAGTCTTGGTTTTTATTCTTTTTTTTCTGATTCTAAAAGTAGGGCGTGGCCAATTGTAAAAAGAAAAATCAGGATCAACCAAAAATGCACAAACAGATACGAGTCAGCCTTATCACCTTACCTGGATGTCTGTGCCGCCTTGTGAGTGCGCCTTCGCGGAGTGCCTGCCCCGCGCTGAGCAGACCCTGTGCGGAGGGTGTGTGCCTCAGTGCGTGCTGCACAGATCAGGTGCCTTTGACGTGGCTGTGCAGAAATTTACCACTCACAGTTCGGGGATGGGCTTCCTGTCTGTCACTGCCCTGGCTGGAGCAGCCTCGGGCGCGACTCCCAGGTGTCCTCCATGACCTCTGGGGTCCACTCCTGTTCTCCGTCCTGTCTGCCCAGCCTCGGGCCCCTGAGAGCCCCCAGGTGTCTTTGTGCCTTCACGTCCTCCCCAGTCTGGCTTCACCTGTTACCTTCCTCCATCATTGAAATAAGTACCGCTGCAAGAATTTCAAACCAAAGAGTAAGTGAGGGCTGGGGCCATAGCTTAGTGTTAGAGCGCTTGCCTAACGTGTTAGGTCCTAGATTGAACCCCCAGAACTGCCAAAACAGGGAGCGAGTGAAATGCATCCTTGTAGTTTACATCATCTTCATCATCAAATGAACCTGTGTACCTAACACCCGAGTTAAGAAAGTACTCGGCTCCCCCACACCAGCATTTTGATACAAAGTCTTGAAACATGCAGCAAAACAAGAATTTTACAGAGACCCTCCCACCTGGTTCTACTATTGACATGTTGCTGTACACATCTTGCATCCACCTGGTGACCCACCCTTATCCATTAACCCATGTTATTTTCTGATGCACTTACATAGCAAAGTGCACACATCTGTAGTCTTTCCCCAAACATTCTGGCCTGTACATCATGAATAGAGTTCAACGGTCTCTGTCCTTTTGAGCTAAAATTAACATCCAATGTATGTCAGTTACCAGTTGTTTCATAATACCTTATCCTAAAACCTAGCACCTAAGACAAACAGTAAATAAAAACCAGTGTGTTGTACGGTTGGGGAGAGCATGGGAGTCTTAATCTCAGGGTCGTGGGTTCAAGCCCCATGTTGGATGCCAAATGTAGGGACGGGGACCCCCTGCAGCGGGCTCTGGCCTCCTGTGAGCCACAACAACACAAAACTAATTAGAGAATAAAGACAGGAACGGAGACTTAGAGAAAAAGCTGGGTCTTGGGGCTGATCAGAGCTGCTCTGGGCAGCACAAGCGCATCCAGTATTTATTGAATACAGTCGTGGAAAGGGGTGGGGAGCTGGGTGTGCTCTGAAGGCCTCTCGTGAATTACTGCCAAACACTTAGCACGAGGCCTCAAGGCAGGGCTGTAAGGGGTAAGCACTGCTTGTCTTGCGTGGATGGAGCCAACAGGTACTGGGACTGGGTGCAACTAGCAAGCAACCAATTGGGTCAGTGAGAAGCCATAATTGAGGGGAAAGGATTTTAACTGAGGTCACACTGACCTCAGCTGCACCTGACTCAGCAGAGCCCTGCCGCTCCCCAGACCAGGGCCTAGGTTTCCATGGCAGCCTTGGAGGGGGGGGTTATACTTGTCCGGTTCTCCGTCTGACACACCCATTTGAGTCTTGCAGAGCTTCGTTCTGACTCCTGATATAAAACAGTATAGCTGAATCATGGAAAGCAAGAGGCATATGCATGTATAGCCTGCTAGTACTGGGCAGGGATGTATGCTACAGTTCAAAAGTTTTTGTCCTTTTGAAGTCAAATTAACATACAACGTGTATTAGTTATCAGTTCTTTCATTATATGGCGTTATCCTAAAACCTAGCACCTGAAACAGTGAATAAAAACCAGGATATTGTAGTTTTTTTGGTCAGGAATTTGGGTGTCACCTGGCCAGGTGGCTGTGGCTCAGGATTTCTCTGAGGTTGCAGTCATCAAACTACTGGGGGAGGGAAGCTGGGCATTTAGCTCAGTGGTGCCACGCCTGCCTCGCAAGCGCAAGCCCTCAAGTTTGATCCCCAGTACCAAAAAAGAAAAAGAGAAAAAAAAAAAAAAGATACCAGCTGGGGCTGTGGTCATCTGAAGGCTGGACTGGAACTGCAGAATCTGCTTTCAAGATGGCGCGCGTGCCCAATGGCTGCCGGCAGGAGCCTCGGTTCTTCCTCCAGACCTCTCCAGGGAGCTGCTGAGGCTCCTCACGCCCTCCTGAGGCCCCCCAAATCCCATCACACTATAACCAGCTGTAACTGTGTCATCTGAATTTGGTTGAGGTACAGATAGGGCTCATGGCGTCAAGTTCCTTAAGGTCAGCTCCTCGGGAGAGTTGTGATCCACCTCTCTCGTCGGTGTGTGCACTAGAGAGACCTGCAGGGGTGGCACTGACACAGGATGCCTGCTGTGGACCCTCTTCCTGTCGGTAAAGACAAAACCAGGAAGTACGGGGTCACTGGTCCGTAGCAGTTCTGAAATCCACCCGAAGTGTGTCAGGAGTCCTTGGTTGGGTTCAGTGCTATGCTTGCCCAGAAATCACCTTCCCAGGGCTCGTAGCTCCGCCCTGAGTCATCCTGCCCCTGAGTCCTTTTTTTTTAAACTAACATTCATCCCATCCACAGACTTCTTTAACATTAGCCGTTTCTACTGCTACAGCTGGGACAGGGTTTGAATGTGTCCCCAAAGGTGCAAGCATTGAAAGTTGGTCCTGTAAGGGGCGCCCCATTTTCTGGTCCTCCTTCTATCTCTCTCAGACAGGAGCTATCTTTCTCTCAATGAACTTTTCCTACCCTTAACCTCTGTTGGTCCTAGATCTTGTACCTTTACGTGATGTCTCTTGGTTCTTATTTTTTCCCCCATTTCCCTGCTGGCTTCAAATATTGCCTTCCCCTTTTAGCAGCTATGTGACCTTAGGCAAGTGCTTTGTTCCCAGTGGTGTAAGCGAAGATACACCTGGCCCCTCCGTCACGGGAGTGCCTCCCACCGGGCCTGGTGGAGGACGGATGCTCACAACATATCAGTTTCAGAAATGAAACTGTTACCTGCCCATGATAGTTACTTGGATGTACCATGTACAGTGTGAGGAAACCCAGCCCATATCCCTGGTGCACAGCAGGGGGACCCAGTGCTGTGCCCGGTGAGGGTTGGCAGTTAGCAAAGTACCAGGACCACCAGGCCTTGTTAAGAAACTTCCCTGCAGTTTGGAAAACAGCCGCCAGTCCTCACCTCTCAAAGTGCCAGGTTGAGGGGACCCAGTGCTTAGGTTTCCTTTGATACTTGGCAGTGGTCAGGGACGAATCTGGGGTGAAGGAGGGACGCCTGCCCCAGCTCCCTGATGTCTACACATGGGGGAAGCGAGGCTCACATCAAACTGCTCCCCACAACTGCGAGGAGCCCCCCTGCAGGAGCACAGAGACCCCAAACAGTCCTGGAGCCTGTTCTGTAGGTTTGCAGAAACGCAAGTTCCCAGACCTTTAGGGGGCGCAGCCATCCCTGGCCATCAGGGGCCACTTGAAGGTGGTGGACAAGTCTGGAGTCATCCTGGAAGTGGTACCAGAGGGCAGAAATCTGAGCTGGGACTGGGCTCGGCGCCAGTTAGTACAAGACCTTGGGGCTCCCCTACAGCCTGTGCTGCTCCCCAAATGGGGGACCCCTGGACTTTGGAATACCCAGGTGGTCCTTCCTGCCACTGACCATAGGGGCCCCTTCCTAGCAGGCATGGTCCCGGCGTGTGGGCTGCCCTGTCCACCAGCAGAAACCCACGCCTTGCCTCCAGGTTGCTGATTGCGAAGGTCCAGGGTGCCACAGCTGCCATGGGACTGCGGCCTTCCTGATGACGTGCCCACCCCCAAGGGCAGGGCTCCTGCTTGGGTTACTGGCGGTTGCCAGTTGAAGGTTAAATGAACTCACACATGTGCAGCATCAGACCACCCACGCTGGATGTTTAACAAGCCACAGGCGAGTGACAGTCACTGGTGTGCCTGCCACAGGGCCCTAGGGTGAGCTGGATGTTGTGGTCACACCTGTAGCATGAAAGTCATTACTTCTAAGATCATATCTCCCTTATTCCCTAACATATCCAGTTAGATGTCAGGACAGGAGACATTGGGTGAGGATGGGCAGGGGTCCCTCCCAACATTCAGTGGCCACTGCCACGTGTGGCTTGTGAGCACTTCAGATGTGGCTACTGTTGCTGAGATGTTCGATTTTAAATTTTTACTTAATTTTATTGTAGTGCTAGGGATTGAACCCAGGGCTCTACACTGGGCTACATCCTTGGCACTTTTAGCTTTTATTTTAAGACAGAATTCACTAAGTCACTAAGTTGCCCAGACTAGGCTCAAACTTGCAGTCCTCCTGCCTCAGCCTCCCAGAGTGCTGGGATTACAGGCGTGCACCACCACAGGTAGATGGGCTCCTGAATGTTTAATTTTAATGAATTTAACTGTAATACGTGCTACTCAACTTCAGTTGTTGGAAATGTTTAAGGATGCTTGGAACATCCTGGGTTTATGAATATTTTTTCAAGTGTACTTGTTTGTGAAATCCAAATACAGACCAAGGCTTTCTGATGAAAATTTATCCATCACAGTGCGATAGGCTGCAAATGCAGAATAATACCCAGACTTCAAAGATTTATTAATATAAATATATATTTCTTGCATAGATTATGTTGCAATGATAATTCATGTTTCTGATAGGTTAAAAATAAAATCTTTGTTGGGCTGGGGATTTAGCCCAGTGGTTCTGCTGCCTGCCTCGCAAAGGCAAGGTCCTGAGTTCGATCCCTGGTACCAAAAAATAAATAAATAAAATCTTTTTTTTTTTT